CATATTTAAAATCCTTTAAAGTTTATAATCATTGTTGTTACCATCACCATAATAACCAGTAGCAATAACCCTAAAAAACCATGATAACTTCCATGTCAATTAAGTCTCTCTGGCTTATTGTGAAATCAAAAGTAATCCTTTTTTATAGCAATTACCTTCCTACAATGTCAAAATTCACACTCATCCTGATAAAATAACCATAGCTCTTCATCCTTGCTCTCTCTCTGCCTTTCCTTTCTTTATTCCATCCCCGGGTCCAGTATTAGACCATGAGTAAAAGATGATCTATTTTAAGCAGATTAACACTGTAGGTATCTGGTACACCATGACTGGGATCCCAGGAATGAAAGATGCACACACATCAATCTCCATCCCGTCGGTTTATTCCCTGTACATAGTAGTTATTGTAGGCAATACCTTCTGCTTATTATTCATCTTTACTAAGGGGAAGGCTTTATGAATCCATGTACCATTTACTCTCCATGTAGGCGCTAGCGGATATCCCTCTCTCCAGAGTCACCACACCAAAGATGCTAGCAATCTTCTGATTCAAAGTTGGTGTATTTCTTTCAGTGGCTATATGTCTCAGATGTTTTTCCTACACTTCATTTTTGTGGCAGAGTCTGCCATATTGCTGCCCATGGCATTTGACCAATATATGGCCATCTGTTGTTATCCACTAAGATATACTGCCCTTGTGACCACCTCAGTCAGTGCAAAAATGGGTACTTCATCTGTGACTATGAGTTTCTTCATCTGAATGTGAATATGAATATGAATGTGAATATGAACTTCATATTCATGTGAATATGAGTTCTTCATATTCAGCTTTGTTGTAACAGGCTTAAAGCATAGTAATTCAATAGCTAATTTCAATTTTATATTGTCTGACCGTAATGGCATCAAAATCAGCATCTACCAGGGAATGATTGTGGCCTTGTTTTTCACATGCCTGGATGTGGCGCTTATCATCATCTCCTATGTCCTTATATTTTGTTCTGTGTTTAGAATTCCTTCCCAAGATGCCCATCTCAAGGCTCTGGGTACTTGTGACTCCCATGCGGGTGTCATCCTCCTATTCTATTCACCAGCATTCTTTTCCTTCTTTACTCACCGATTTGGGGGGCAAGTATACCACTCCATATACACGTCCGTCTTGCTAATCTTTATGTCATGGCACTGCTGACTATCAACTCCATCATTTGTGGAGTTAAGACCAAACAAATTAAAGAGAGAGATTTATCTAGGTTTTTTCCTTGAACAAGACATTTTATTGATATGGACCAAAGAGCTTAGTTCTTCATTTAAAAAGAAATTTAATGTAACTCTACAACTCAAGAAAACGTAACAACAATAACAGAATGATTTTGAGAAAATGAGGCAACATGACAGTCTTACTGTTTATGCTACTTTTGTTCATGACAATATTAGAGGAAGGACACCTTATTTCCTGTGCAATATTCAGCTTTGTTGTAACAGGCTTAAAGCATAGTAATTCAATAGCTAATTTCAATTTTATATTGTCACAGGAAAAAAGAATACCTAAAGATACAGCCCATTCTCACACATTAGAAAAATGAGAAACAAAATCCCAAATTAACCTAACAGAATTTTAGCTTATTTTTGCATGTTTACTTGTACAAGTATGCACACGAACTCACAAATGTATGTTTATTTGCTTTATGAGCAAAAAACGATGACATTGATGACAGTGAAACACTAAAGTGTTATAAATGCCCAGGCTGAGTATATTAAAATACATCCAAAAAATATAATAGCGCAATTTTTTCAGAACGAGTTACAATTAAGCACTTATATGGAGATAAACTTAAAAGTATTTTGAAAACAAATTCGAGGTTGCAGAATAGTACATATCATGTTATCTCAATTATATAGTTGTATACCTATTAATATATAGAACCATAAGTATACAACTTATTCATATATAGAACCATAAACATACAACTTATTCATATACAGAAGCATAAGTATAGAACTATATAATTGAGATAACATGTATCATTCTGCAACCCTAATTTATTTTCAAAATACTAATATTAGCTCATTCTCAAACATAAACAATGAAAACATTTATATGGCATAGGCTTCTTTGTTCATGATCTGTATTTTCAAAATTCTAGGTAGGTATTTTTTAAAAAATATTCACTAATAATTTAAATGGCAGAATTCATTAAAGTGTACCTGTTACAATCTGAACACTAAGGTCCCATAATCCTACCAATCACTTGGAATTGATGCCTTTTTGAAAGCAGAATGTCTCTAATCCCCATAATTTTATCTCATATTCTATCCTAATGCACTATTTTTCTTCAGAGAATTGACCAAAATGTGTGATTATTGTATATATTTTACTCTTTATTGTCTTCCTCCACCTTTTCCATCACCCTCAAAAGGTAAACACTATAGAGTTGTCCCTTGGTATCTGCAAGGTATTGGTACCAGGATCTTCCACACACGCCAACATCCAAGGATGCTCAAGTCCCTGAAATAAAATGCCATTTGCATATAGCCTATGCACATACCTCTTTAAACTTTAAGTCATCTCCAGATTACTTTTAATAACTAAGACAATGTTAATAGTTGTTACATGGCATTGTTCAGGGAGTAATGACAATTTTTTTAAAGCCTACAAAGATGCAATTTATTTTTATTTTCCAAATAATACTGAGTTTCCATTCTTCTGATTACCATTGTGGAAACTTCCCATGTTTCAAATTCTTGGAGATATCTTCCCGTGAAGAAGGCATTTCATGAGCTCTGATCGCCTGTTTTTACATTAGGTTAGAGATTTAACTTCTTGCCAGGTGGTCAGCCATTCATATTGAAAACAAAAACACTTCACAAGCACAGGTCTCCTGCAGCCACGGATCAGCTGAAGTTACAGCTTTGGATGGGAGCTACAGCATTGACCTACAGGGCAGGAGAAAAGTTACAGAAACTTTCCTTTACATCAGGATACTGTGTCAATAGGTTCAGAATCTCCAATTATCTTGGCATCTTAATGCCCAGACCCCAGAATCTCATGGACATTATTCTTGAAGATCAAGTTAAATGGACAAAGCATGGATCACTGTCCAAGATCCTGTCTATCTGGCACAGTATGAACCCTCTGAATGTTATCTCCAAATCTATAAATTCCAAGGTGACTCTTCAGTGATCTTCTAGGTTTCTAGAATGGCTAAAGAAACCTTGAAAAAGATGACTCATGGATAAGATAATAAATCAAAACAGGGATGTAAGGATACTTCAGTTAAAATGAGATGTTCAGTTTAAAGAAACAGACTTCTAGCTACTAAAGCAATAATTCTCAAGAAAGGTGGTCCAAGGTCCAACTGCATACCATTAAAACAATGGAATTGGCATAGTAAGAGGCAAAATGACTTCACGATCATAGACACAGGGAGGGCTCTGAGAGCCACTGATTGAAGGAGAGACTCAGTAAGGTGCCAACCAAAGTGAATCTATCAGGTTTATCATTCCAAGAGTATGTATCAGCCCAAGAAAGGTTGTCAGGGATTTAGAAAAGAGTGGAATTCTCCAAGGCACATGGTCAGTCAATGTATCCTGGGACTATATAGGGGTGATTTAGGGACCTAGATGACTCAGAATCATCTCCTTTCCTTGCTTAGGAGTTTCAATACAACATTCAATGAATTGTTCTAGATACCTGGTTATAATGTGTGCTTAATATGAACTTTATATGAACTTTAGAATGTGTACCAGACATGTCAGGAGGAAATTATGGGAATGTAGAAAAGTGACTATTATTGAGGAGTCAAAAACCGTAATGATTGCTGGAGATTACAAAACAAAATAATTCCTAGAATACATACAAACATAGTAGAAGTTAAAATGGAAAAACATGAGATTTAAATAATTTTGCTGAGTGCAATAATTTTAATGTAACTAATTAGGAAACACATTTGGCATTAGGCATTAGAACACAATGTAGGCTATGACTAATGGGGCAGCCTGTGGACTCAGACTGCCAATAACCAAATCTCTGCTCCACTGCATATAATTACAAAGCTTTAAGGTAGTCATTTTATCTCTTTGACCATGATTTTTAATTAAGGAACTATAAATAAAGCATTTATGATAGTGTATGGAACATAATAAATGGAAATTTAAAATTATAAACATATTTACATTAGTTGGTTATAGTTATAATCTAGACTCTATTTTTACTGAGCAGAGGATTTAAGTGAGATAACACAAATAAATATAGGGATTAAAATTAAACATTTTCAAATGATTCAAATGGTTTTGAGTTGTAGTTGCTATTGGCATCATTATTTTGATCTACAAACTAATCAAAAAATCTATTTCTTTCTACTTTGGCAATCATTGATTGTCTATATCTGTTATTCAATTGCCATAGATAAAGTAGGAGTACAGAAATATTATTTGGTTTGTGGACAACCTAACATCAATATTATTTTTATATCATTAATTTCATCACTTTGTAATTTATTCAAATATTCCAATCTCCCTATGAAGCTTCCTCCACTATCTGGTCATGTGGCTAAACCAGATAGCAGGGGCCATGAGTAAACAATATAATAAGCAATATACAAGAACCTTGCCAGAGTAATAAAAATGGGCTGAGATCACAACTGATCTGTTAGTAATTACTTGAAGAATGCTAAATAGCAATATTTACCTTTTCCATAATGGGTGGATCACAAAATACCCTGATGCAGCTAACCATAACAAGGTATTAATGGTAACACATAGCCTATCTTATGCACTAGTACGAGTCTCAGCCCACTGTATGTTCATTTCTGATTTATACAACTTATCACAGTATTACAGATGTCAATTTTACTGACTGATGATTGTGGGAAAGTGAAGAAGGTATCTGTAACATATAAAATATTATTAAAATACAGTATTAAATCTAGGTTTACATACTTATTGACTCTTACCTTTTTTAACTTCACTTGTTGAATTTAAATTCATACACATTTGATATGAACTTATGCTCCTTTCATGCAGAACAATCTCTGGACTCTTTTTTGTATCTGTTGAGTCTTTATACTGTAAATAACAGGGTTCATCATGGGTGGTAAAATAACGTAGATGTTGCCCATGAGGACGTGAACCAATGGTGAGAGGTGTTTCCCAAAGCGATGCACCATTGTCAGACCAATGATTGGGATGTAGAAAACCAAAACAGCACAGATGTGAGATACACAGGTCTGCAAAGACTTGAGTCTCTCCTCCCAGGATGCAATGGCTAAGACTGTATGCAAAATCCTGATGTAGGAGATGAGTATGAGCACTGCATCTAACAACAGGTTGATGATCACCAGTGTCAGAGCATAAATGCTATTGAAGCGGATGTCTGAGCAGGCCATTCTAATTAAGTCTTGGTGCAGGCAGAAAGAGTGAGAAAGGATGTGAGGATGGCAATAATTTAAGAACTTCAGACGGATGATGACTGGAGGTATTAGTAAAGAACTCCTACATAAGATTGCCACTCCAATTTTCATAATTTTGTCATTAGTTAGGATGGATGAGTAGCGCAATGGGTAGCAAATGGCAATGTAGCGGTCAAACGCCATAGCGAGGAGGACAGAGGACTCCATGAAGGACAGACCATGGATAAAATAAGACTGGGCAATGCAGGAATCCAGGCTGATCTCTTGAATTAACCCCAACAGGATCCCCAGCACTGTGTACACAGTAGAAAACCCCATGCACAGGTCAGTGAGGGCCAGCATGGCCAGAAAATAGAACATAGGCTGGTGTAGGCTTGACTCAGTCCGGATCACATGGAGCACCATGCAGTTTCCCAGGAACACCAGAGCATAGATGGAGGAGAAAGGAATGCAGAGCCAGGGACAGTGAACCTCTAGGCCAGGAAAACCAGTGAGAACAAATCTGGAACTATTGAAGTTTGAGTTAGAGATAGACATTAATAGAGGATTGAAAATACTTCTAGAAAAATGCAAATTGCATAGGTTTGTGTTTCCCTGATTTTTAGTAATGTCTGTCTGTTTTTAGGAAGAAAGTAAAATATAATACAATTTCTGTAATTTGCATAAATTCAGCAAAATAGAGAACTTATTCTTTACCTCTTAGGGCAAAACCCTGTCATCTCGACATGGAATCTTCAGGGCTATTGGTTAGAGATGATGGAATATTAGGGAGTTTTATGCAGAAACAGTAATATTACTGGACCCATGGGATTTAGATTCTAGGTTAGACTTCTGGGAGTGTCTGTTTATTCCTAAAGGAAGAGAGTGTATGATCACTGGTACTGCTGTCATGGTTGGTATCAACCTCAGGAGAATGTGAAATATTTCAGTCATTTTTCTCCTGGGTACTACCTTCGAAGTGTCATAAGTTTTCAACAGATGTTAACTAGCTAAAATAACCTAACTTTGCAGAACACAAAGATTGTTCAAAAGAAACTATACAAACAAAGTGAAATCAGAACTTTTTTACACATTCCACATTAGCCCCTCTCCAAATTATTTATTTAAATTTGACTCTATTTTTTTTCTCTATTTTCGTGCACATTTTCATCCTGTGCAAGATATTTGTCTTTTCTGGTGTCTCCCAATATTATCTTAGGTCTATCGCATATGAGATAACATAATTGAAATGTGTTTAATTTTTTTTAATTTTCATTTTAGCCATTTATATGTATATTTTTATATTTTTATTTTAGCCATCTGGTTGTGTGCAGTGATTTCTTAGTGTGATTTTAATTTGCACTTTACTTAATGGATAATAGTAATTGGAAAATAATACATTCCAATGCAATGTGTCATTAAAATAAATTAGTAAATAATTTGATGTCATAACACTATAGTTATTGATCCTGCCAGACATCATAAGTTTGAGAAGTAATACAGACCTTAGGAGAAAATACAGATTTTAACAGAACATCAGATAGTTTAATAGATGCTTCTCTTGACTTACTTCTTTTTTACACCTTGTAAGATCTTTCAAGTATCAGAAAAAAATGATATGGGAGACCGACATGCCTTTTAAACTAAATACTAAAATATTTGATAATATCTATTTTATCTATGGCTGTGTTAGCTTTTTACAGGTAACGTAAAATCAGTTATTTAAGCATACATTTTTGTGATAACCAAATAGTCATAAATATGTCCTATCTTGGCCAAGCCTCTTATAGCTGTATGTACTACCCAATACATTCAGCACTTCTTCCACTTGAAGTACGTAAGACAACATGATGTGAGCTTCTTTGGTTAGCAGAATCTGTGAATTATTAGAGCTTATAAAATAATACTAAGATTTCAATTACAAATAGAACTCTATGGAAGGCTAACAAAATGATTTGTATAGTTGGGTAATTAAAAACTATTTTTCAACCTGGAATGATTTAATGTTTTAAGAAGAATATAATATTTTTAAAATATTTAATTTATATGAGTACCTAGGCATTATCCTCATAATATAACTGAATATCTGAACAGTATCCTTGGAAAAGGAGAGTTAATAAATCTGATAAGGATAAAAAATGAGCTTGAAGCATAATTACATTTAAGGTATGCTTTTTTGTTTTAAATAAGGATTCAGTCACAATAAACAACAGTGACTAATGCAATGAGCATTAATTTACCCATGCTAAGAGAATATGGTGGGTATATATGAACAAAAGGTTGGATAGTATGGGGTACAAGAGAAAATAAATGTCACTTTTTTTTGTAAATATTAAGCCCTTTATTTTTAGATAATTATAGATTCACATGCAGTTGTAAGAAATGCTTCAGAGAGATCCTGTGTACCATTTACCTAGTTATGTTATATTTGCTTTTTTATTCCAACTTGAATTTACTGAAATGGATCCCTTCACTCTTCATGCACATGATTATGTTCATGTAACATCATGCTGTACAGCTTCCAAAGAACCAGAAAATTACATGGGTGATAGCTGTCAAAGACACCCCATTCCAGAAGACAAAACAGAAAGCCTTCACTTGAGTTTCATGCAATCATCACAGTTCATTACTCACCTGCCTTAATGACAAATTATACCTTTCTCTGCCTAGAGATTTTTTAAATTGTTATAAATCAGAGTAAAGGAAATATCAAATATGGAAATATATTTGTATTGTGGACTGCTAGTATAGCAAAAGCTGTGTGGGTCACAGGCATATCATGCAGTGTATCCCTCACAGGGAAAGGAGGTCATCTGGAGATGAAGCCTAGAGAAAAGAATAAATGGAGACTTAACAAAGAGAGGAGATGAAAGAAAGCAGCAGGAAGTGGCCCCAAAGTTAAGGCTCTGCCACAAAAAATAACACATGCTCTGAAAACTGGCTGAGATGCATGGAGATGAACTAAGAATCCGAGTATAAAATGTTTATTTTTGGAACTCCTGATGTAAATATGTGATTAGTATGCAAGGGGCCAACCCAAGGACAAAATAGAAACTCCTGAATCTTTTCCTGTGTTCTTTTTGTCTCTGTTTCCTTAGAAACAAATCCATGAGTATCGGAAATTCCCATTCAAGAGAGAACCGCTCAGAAGATGTTCAATTCCAAAGTGTTGTTTTAAAAGCAGATGCCAGCTATACTGAATCTTTTTTTTTTTTTAACAAATGTTTAGTTTTAAATTTACTTATAATAATCATATATATTTATGGGGTAAGCAGTGATATATCTATATCTATATATATATATACACACATATATATATATATATGGTACATTGTGATTAGATGAGAGTATTGATCTTCTCAAACATTTATCTTTGTTTTGGAAACATTCAATATTCTTCTTCTAGCCATTTGAAATTGCATAACACGTTATTGTTAACTATAGTTATTCTAAATGGTGTAGAATAATAGAATTTATTCCTCCTATCCAGCTGTAATTTTGTATTTCTTAAAAAAAATCTCTCCTCGTTTTCCTCTTCCTTTGTTAGTCCCAGCCTCTAGTATCCTCTGCTACACTTTTTGCTTCTAAGAAATCAATTTTTTTCAGATTCCACATATGATTGAGAACATGTCATATTTGTGAAGTCGTTCCTAACCTCCAAGAACATAGTAAATCATTTCCTCCCAAGATGCTTTACTTATCCTTCTAAAAGATTAATTATGTAGGGGTACAACTATTTTTCAATGTGTGCCTCTTCACTATATTGTAAACACCTTGTGGTTGAGAGAAATTTTGTGTTTTGATGAATCTAAATACAGTACATGATGTAAGTAGATCCTTAATATCTGTTTATTTAACACACGTATAAATTATTTATGGTAAATTCTCTGGTCTCTTCAATAATACTGTTTTTTAAAGTCATGTTGCACATTCTGGGTTAGAAGTCTTCATTAACGTGTAAATCACTACACATCAGTTCCATTTTAGAATAATTGAGAGCCTTCCTATGTCTCTGGAATCAAGTATGGAGGTTCCTCAAAATACTGAAAATGGAAGTACCACATGACCCAGCAATTCTACTGCTGGATTTATATCTAACATAAATGAAATATGAATTTCAAAGATGTTTGCACTCTCATGTTCATTGCAGCATTATTTGCAATAGCCAAGATACAAATAAACAGCCTAAGTGTCTACTGACAGATGAATAGATGAATAAATTATAGTATATTTGTGCAATTAATTATTATTCAGCCCTTAAAAAGAAAGAAATCTTTCCTTTTGCGGCAATGTGAATAAAACTGCAGGACATTATGCTAAGTTAAAGAGGCCAGACAAAGAAAGACAAATGTTGTATGATATCACCTAAGTAAAATGTAAAATGTCAAACTTAGAGGAACAAAGGATAGAACGGTAGTTGCCAGGGACTGAGCGGTGAAAGAAATGGGAGATGTTGGTCCAAGTGTAAGACTTTCATTTATAAGATGAATACATTCTAAATATGTAAGGTACAGTGAGGAAAGTATAGTTAATAATTATACATTATATACTAGAAATATGCAAATTGAGTAGACCTAAAAATTCTCTCTCACGAACACATACACACACACACACAC